CTTAATGAGTAAAGCCAAAATACTTGAAAAATCATGATGCTATCTACAAATGCAACTACTGGTCTGATCCAAAGGAATATTCCAGTTCCCATTACTTATTCTTTCTTGTTTGTTTACCTTATTGTATTTGTAGGTTTTGAGTAATAATAAGAAAATTGTATTAATTATAATGATAGCAACTAACATTTATTAGGCATTATCACCTTCCAGAAATTATGTTCAGTTTGCTATAGGAATTATCTGATTTAATTCTACGTATTCTATTATTATTCTTGCTTTATAGGGGGGTGAGGCACTTGAGGCTGAGAGGGGTTGAGGACTTTTCCAAAGGTCAGCAGGCAGGAGGTAGGCTGGGGCTTCCACACAGCCAGAGCTTGAGCTCTTACCTGCCGTACACATTGTTTCTAGCTGGGATCTACTGCCTGCTCTATACAATCACTCAACTCAGAATTTATTGCTATTGCACTTTTCTTTTTCCTTTTATCAGATTAAGAAAATGTAAAAGTTTGATCTTTGGAGGTAGATAGCAGTTAGCAACATTCATATTATAGCCTCTATGTGCTAATATTGTGTAATGTGAGTCTGCATGTGTGTGCATGTGTGTAATTGTGTATGAAAAAGTGAGGTGCGTATATTCAATAAATAGTAGTTTCTGAACTTTAGGAACGTTCACTTTAAGGACATATGGCAAATACGTCAGAATAGAGTTGGCTGGGCATGTTTAGGAAAAGACGTAGGAGGAAAAACTGCACTGGTGGCCAAGAGATTTAGAGCCACACATCAGCTTGCATTTGTGTCCTTGCAGAAATCACTTTAAAACTGCAGAATGGGGTGAAACAGCCCCACAGAGTACATCTTGTGGGCAATTTTAAATATCAACTGCCATGAAAATGTTCCCCTAACACGTCTGCATCTCTGGCGGGACTTAGATGTATGCGGGCTGTAGGAAGAACTCAAAATTTGGTGTCAGTGCTCAGCGGTATGAGTTCAGATTAGTTAATGCCTTTCAGCCTGCTTCTCATCTGTGGAATAATACTTACTGAGCACTTACTCTGGGCCAGGCTTTACAGGTACCTTATTTATTGTCACACCAACTTAGTAAACTTGGAGAATGGAAAGGTGTTAGGTAAGTTTTATAAACATTAATTATTAGATCGTCCACTAATTGGTGATCATCCAGGCTCCAAAGCCTAGTGAGCAGTGATGAGCAGAGGGACCCGTAGCTGACCTGTGAACCTCCTTATTTCAAATCTGTCTGGAACAGTTTCTCCTGGGTCTAGATTAGCTTTGGATCCAGACACTTCCAGAAGTGGAGAGTTCACTAACAATTTTTTAACTTAACTTTTAAGCTAATGCACACTTACCATACTTGAAGCACTATGCTAAAAGCTTTCCAACTTTAATGGAAAGTAATTATTATTGCCCCCATTTAGCAAAAGAAATAAAACACAATTCCCATTAAGGTTATGTGATTTGCCCAAGTTATGTAGCAAGAAAGTGGCAGGCAAGAGAGGTTCTGATCTCAGGTCTCTCTTACTGCAAAGTGTCTGTAGTAGCTGCGATCTTTCTTTCTTCTCTCCTCCTTCCCCAGCCCCCATGCCCCAATTCTGTGTTCAATGTGCTTCAGAGGTGTCTGGGTTTCAGCTGCATTCTTGGTCTCGGTGTTTGGTAGGTGTGGGCTGAGGTGGGTGTACCTTATAGACTGACATATATGTCAGCTCACAGAATTCACCGTGGCCCTCTCATAGGTCAATGAGGAGGATCTGGGGAAATTTTCAGCTCCCTGAGAAGGAGCAGCATTGGCTTTGGTGAACTATTGCCTTCCAAAAGCCTTCCAGAATGCCTCTGGGGTCGAAGCTGGCATTGGTAAATAGCTAATCAGTAGAGTGCCATCAAGCAGTCACCAACTTTGCCTTCAGGTCTTCTATATCAATCTTAAATGATCCCTAAGGAATTCAAGATTCCTTTCCAGACACTGATCATTCTCATTTCTTTTAATGATATTTTTTAAATATTGAATTATATGTATATGCATAAGAATATATATAATTCATAATTTTTGTTATATCTATCTATTTATCTATCTATCTGTCATCATAAGATATTACTCAAAGGATTGTCTGAAATTCCTTCTGATTTGCTAAGACTTTTAACAATAGCTTTGTTGAGGATTGACATGCAATAATATTCACTTCATGAATACACTCATGAAAACATGACTACAATCAAGAAAATGAACATATGCATCTCTCCCCAAAAGTTTCCTTGTACCCACTACACTTCTCTCATGTGCTCTTCCACACCACTCTTCCTCTACAGCCCCAGGCAACTACTGATCTGCTTTTTATCACTATACATCAGTTTGAATTTCTTAGAATATCATGTGAATTATATATAAAAGGAATCATGTCTGACTTTTTTCATTTAGCAAGAGCATTTTGAGAATCAATGACATCGTTGTACATACCAACTTTTATTCTGTATTATTGCTGAGTATTATTGCAGTGTATTGATATGCCATGTCTGTTTATTCACTCTTCTGTTTATGGGCATTTGGGTTATTTCCAGCTTTTGGCTATTCTAAATAAAGCTGCTATTGACATTCATAGACATCTTCGTATGGATATGTACTTTCAGTTCTCTTAGGTAAATACCTAAGGGTGAAATAGTTGGGTCATGCAGTAGGTATATGTTTAACTTTTTTCAAAACTGTCGAACTTTTCCCAAAGTGATCGTATCACTTAAC